AGATATGAAACTCAACCTCTTGCTTAGCTAGGCTCACGTGGACTCTGACTTACACTGTGCCCATGACCTCTCTGCTTGTGTTATCATATGCCCAAATTACTTGGGATGTGGGAACAAAGTCCACTGGTTTAAGGCCAATTGCATAGGCAGTGTGAGAAGGACAAACATTGATGGCCGAACCAGTATCTACCAACGCCACCGGCACCCATTTCTCCCTGCATTCCATAGATATGTACAATGGTTTGTTTTGAGAAGAGCCTTCCGATGGCAGCTCTTTGTCGGAGAAGGTAAGTGTTGGCCTAGCACCGCTTGGAAAGACCAATCCTACTAGCTGTTCAGGCATGGTCTCAATGGATAAATTTAGCCTTGTCCGTTGCCGACAACACTGCTTTTCGGTGTCCCCAGGAGGCCATGAGAAGACCCCAGAATGAGATGTTAGCTTGGATTTTCTTGAGTTGTTTCAATACTGCCTCTTCTAGTTGTTTCTCTTTCTGTTTCTCGGCCTCTCTGTCTTTTCCAGACGCCTCTGCTTGATCCAAGTGCGACGGCTTGAAATACCGCCCACTTCTTGTCAGATGGTCTACTTCCTCAGCATACCACATATTGTCCGGAAGGCACTCACCCCAGCCTTCGTCGGTGTGGACCAGGTGCAGATTGTCATCATCCCACTATTCGCCCACAGTGGCCGACAAACAGTTGTCCGACTTTGCTTGTATCACCTTCACATCATAAGTTCCCCCCACAAGGTGTTGTGAAATTACAATTTCCTGACCGTTTTCAACCCTTTCTCGTTCAAACTGCCATAGTGTAGCTTCTTGTTCAGCATCCACATTATTCACAGCGCCCACTTTCTGGGCTGGGTTTTCCACACCAGCACTCTCCAGCAGCTTTCCTTTCTCATCAGCCTTTCTGGCTACTACAGGGATCTTTGCTTCTTTTCCCTTTGGTTTCATTCCAATTTTTCTTCCTTGTCTGGCTCATCACTAAGCCATCCAGTGTTGTCCGTTGAACCATTCAGGTCAAACCACCCAATCTACACATCTCCCTGACCCTGCTCATCAAAGAGCTATAGTTTGTTCAAATCCTCCTCGAGTTTTGCCAAATCATCCAACCCCTAGCTTGGGCCATCTTCCTTGACCACATTGATGTCTACCAAGGTTGGCAGCCCCAATTCATGATTGTTTTGACCAGTTGACACAATATAGCAACTTGAATCATACACCCTATCAGGTAAGGTCTCAGAACATTCGGCAACAGACTAGTACCTTTCTCCAAGGTTGACTCTCCTTCCACTATAAGTCCTATCACCACAGGCTTGGGTTAAGGGTTGGACGTGTCCATCATGCACAAATCTGCACTTTTCAAAACGAACAACCTCAATTTTGGTAGGCGGGAGGGAGTAATATATATGCTAGGGCCATAAGGGGTGGCCAATGTATGGATCAGGTTGAGATTTTGAGGGGGGGGACTTGGTTATGGGCTAGGAGTGGATTTGTGGTCATGTTTGGCTTCTGAGGTGGAGCGATCAGCTTGTTGTCAATGAGATCCTGAATCCTTTCTACTTGTTGCACTGGTTTTACTCCAAGTGCGATTTCATTCGATTTCGCAATTGGGTCCAAGATAAAGAAGATCAATGGTCAGTTACAAGATGCTACTACAAGAATTAAGGAACTTGGTTTGGTGAAAAAGGCTATTGGGGGGACTAATAGGCCTACAAATGCGTGGCCGAGACGAGAAACTACATATTTGCTGGATGATCCTTTTGTTTGCGGCAGAGATGAAGATAAAAAATGGATTGTTGAATTGCTTCTTAGAGATACACCAACTCAAAACAAAGTCGATGTCATTCCCATCACCGGCATGGGTGGGATTGGCAAGACTACTCTGGCTCAACTCATTTATGATGATGATGGGGTCAAAATCCATTTCGATCTAAAAGCGTGGGTTTGTGTATCTGACGAGTTTGATGTTAAGAAAATAACAAAGGCAATTCTGGAGTCATTCACTCTCCAGTCATGCGATTTGACAGAGTTAACTGCCCTTCAACGTAAACTTGAGGACATGCTGGCAGGAAAAAAGTTTTTGCTTGTCTTAGATGATGTGTGGAACCATAGAGATGAAGAATGGAGTTCACTACAATCTCCATTGCGAGCTGGAGCACATGGAAGTAAAATCATTGTGACAACGCGAATCATAACTGTTGCGGAAAAGGTGATGACGATTAAATATCACAATTTGCCAAGCTTATCACCTGATGTTTGCTGGTTAATATTTTCCCGTCATGCATTCAAGAATATAAATATTAGTGAACATCCAGAATTGGAATCAATTGGCAGGCAAATTGTTGCCAAGTGCGGAGGCTTGCCACTGGCAGCAAGGGCCCTCGGTGGCTTATTACAATGTAAACAAAATGAGCATGAATGGAAAATGGTACTAACTAGCAATATATGGGATAAACCATACGAGGAAAGTCGTATTCTCCCAGCACTGAAATTGAGCTATCATCATCTCCCTTCCCATTTGAAGAGGTGCTTTGGTTATTGTGCAATTGTCCCAAAGGATTATGAATTTGGGGAGGAGGAATTAGTCTTGCTATGGATGGCAGAAGGTTTAATTGAACACCCAAAAGGTGAAGAACAAATTGAAGATGTAGGCCGTAGGTATTTTCACGAATTGGTGTCTAGGTCATTTTTCCAATCATCAAGGCATAATAAATTGCTATTCATAATGCATGACCTCATCAATGATTTGGCTCAAGCAGTTGCAGGGGACATCTGTTTTAGGTTGGAGAATAATTCAGAGGGTGGCAAGCAGAACAAGATTTCAGACAAAGCTCGACATTCATCTTATGTTGCTAGCAGATTTGACGGAATCAAAAAATTCAAAGCTTTCGATGATGCCAAATGCTTACGAACCTTCTTAGAGTTTTTGCCAAATAGAGACAACGACAAAACAAGGTACTTGATTCATGATTTGTTGCCAATGTTAAAGTGCTTACGTGAGTTGCGCTTGTGTTATTCTGGGATAGATGAACTACCAGATATCATTGGAGATCTAAAGCATCTACGGTACCTTGATTTATCCTATTCTCAAATTAGGAAGTTACCTGAGTCGGTGGTAACTCTCTACAATTTACAAGTCTTGTTTTTGAAATTTTGTGTTAAACTTGTGAAGTTGCCTCTAAACATGGGGGGGCTAGTGAACTTGCGCCATTTTGACATGACTGGCGTGCATATTCCATCATTTGAAGAGATGTCACTACATATAGGTAAATTAACTAATCTCCAAACATTGTCAAATTTTATGGTGGGTAAAGATTGTGGACGTAAAATAGGAGAGTTGAAAAACCTATCACACATTCAAGGGGCAATACACATATCAAGAATGGAAAATGTCAGTGGTGTTAAGGATGCAGTGGATGCCAATTTAATGTCTAAGGAGGAGTTAAAAGAGTTGACACTAGAATGGGATGAATCTCGTAGTTCACAGAATGACATAGTTGAGAGGGATGTGCTTGACATGATGAGACCTTTCAAATTATTGGAACAACTTACCATCAGTGGGTATAGCAGTACAAAATTTCCAAACTGGGTTGGAGATGTTTCATTCTCTAAAATGGTGTTCATGCGATTAAACGGTAATAAATATTGCACATCTTTGCCACCACTTGGACAACTACCCTTGCTTAAAGACCTTTACATTGAAAGAATGAGTGCAATAAAGCACCTGGGTTATGAGTTCTATGGCCAGCAGTGCGGTGCCAAACCATTCCCCTCTCTAGAGAGACTGAGCTTTGAGCTTATGCCAGAATGGGAGGATTGGTCTGCTTTTGAAACAGAGGGAGTTCAGGCCTTCGGCCATCTCAGTGAGCTTTCCATCATCGATTGTCCCAAACTTGTTGGAAGATTACCAAATGATCTTCCTGGTCTCAATTCTCTCAAAATTTATGGTTGTCCACAGTTGTTGATTGATGTTTGGAGCCTTGTTCAGCCATCACTTGCATCCTTGTCAATGAATAAGGTTATGCTCCAAAGCCTTCCAGCACTCTTAGGGATGAACAGCACGATTGAACTTGGTTCCCTCACCTTGTATATTAGACATGTTACAGTTCTTGACTCCCTCTGCGATCCAAGCACAACTGATGAAGAGTTACTGGCTAATGAAATGTCTAAGCATTTGACTTCAATAACTGCTTTGAGCATTTCTCATGTTGAAAAACTGGCGTTCCTACCGACATGGTTTACTCGAGATTTGACGGGACTCGAGAAATTGGACATAATTAACTGCCGAGAACTCATAACATTGTGGCGGAATAAGGTGAGAATACAAGTATGTCTCCCTTCCCTCTGCCATTTGAAGATTTCTCATTGCCCCAAACTCGTTTGCTTGTTTGAAGAAGAGCAAGAAAAAGGAGGAGAAGGTTCAAAAAAGCAGCAACATGAGGGGCTGCCTTGCATGACGAGACTCGAGTATTTAACAATTGAAGAGTGTGGAATGCTGAAGAAACTGCCACAAGATCTGCACACATACACATCTCTTGGGGTGCTTATAATCGTAGGTTGTGCAAGTCTCATCTCTTTTCCAATGAAGGGTTTGCCATCTATGCTGAGAAAACTTCGGGTTACAAGGTGTGATGCTTTGGAGTCCCTACCGGAGTTGATGACACTCAATAATCTGCAAGAGTTGGACGTTGCTAGCTGTGCATCACTCACATATTTATTGTCAAGAGGTGGGCTACCATCCACACTAAAACAACTTATGATTAGGTGGTGTAAAAATCTGGAGTCACTTTTTGCAGAGGAAGGGATCAAAATTGATTGTCCATCCCTTGAAACTATTTACATCGTAGATTGTGGGAGTCTCAAATCTTCACCTGAAGCCAATAATCTCAGGAATCTCAGTATAATAGGTTGCCCGAATCTGGAGCCCCCGTCACTTGGTGGTCGTGATGAGAACAACAACATCATCCAACTCACTTCGCTTCAAGATCTGAATGAATGCAGGGCTGGAATGGTCTCCTACTTTGTCAAGGAAGGGAGTTTCCCCACCAACATCACTTCACTTGAAATCGGGAAATTGAGAGTGGACGACGTCGGTCAACTTCCACTTCCACTTCCACTTCCGCCTCCATCTCCATCAGAGTGGGGTTTGCACAAACTCTCTTCTCTTACAACACTCCATCTTTATGGCCGAGATTGGCTGTAGGGAGATACGGTGTCCTTTCCAGAAGAAGGGATGTTCCTGCCCACCTCTCTCATCAAATTGACCATCAGAGCATTCCCAAATCTGGAAAGACTCTCTTATGAGGAGTTTCAAAACCTCGCCTCTCTCCAATCACTTGAAATCTGGCATTGCCCTAGGTTCGCGTCCTTTCCAAAGGAAGGGTTGCCTCCCTCTCTTTTGCATCTATCGATCTGGGATTCCCCTGAGCTTGCGACCTTTCCAGAACAAGGATTCCCTCCCTCGCTTTTGTCACTGGTGATCGCACCACGTAATCTAATACTGAAGCAGAAGTGTGAAAAGGGAAAAGAATATTGGCCCATCATCCAATACATTCCTTACGTATATATAAGGTACAAACAAACAAACACAAAATCTGCCATATCATTTTTGTTTATTTATTTTCTCATTACCAAAACCATCTCAATTTTTTATCACAACTGAGAGTTTATTATATATCGTAAGATTGTTGTGAATGTTGAAATTATCAATACATTACTGATTAATTAAACACACTGCTCTGTTTTTCAATTTACTTTTTGTCTTTTCCTTTCAAATATTTCCTTTTCTCTTAATTTTTCTTTAGGATGTGTTTGGTTGAGAGATTTAGGGAGGGATTTAAAAAGGGAAAAGGAAAAAGGTGTGTGAAATTCAAATATACTTTATTCACATTTCACTTACCTTTTCCTTTTCTTTTTCCATTTTCAAATTCTTTTCCAAATCCCCCAGCCAAACACAATATTAATAATGAATGGATAATTTTCATTCTCATTTGTTATTTTATCTTGTATTATTCATAGGTGCTGATGGAAAAATTGCCATATTTGTTTTGAAAAGAGTTTAGTTATGACTTTTAAAAAGAGTTTTGAATTGTGTGTTTCTTTATGAGTTTTAAAAATAATTTTTGAATTGAGTTTTAAGTTGTGTGTTTGCTTATGAGTTTTGAATTTTTTTTTATTAGAATCACAATTCCAAAAGTAAACCAAACACAACCTATTTTTCTACAAAATGTGCTCTAGAAAATGATATCCTATGTTTGATTGCTACTTGAAACTAATGTACTAGTAGTTGTATTAGCGGTGGTATTTGTTGTAGTGGGGGTGGCGTCGGCGGTGGTGGTGGTGTTGGCAAGACTTTAGACCAAAAAATGTTTTACACTTCAGAAAAAAATTTCACCTTCAAAAATGTAAAGCATTTATCACTGAAAAGGCTTATTTTTTATTGACCATAGAAAACATTTTCCATTTAACTTTCATTTTCTATCATACTAACCGCCAGAAAATGTGACAAACATTTTTCCAAAAACATTTTCGGCCAAAACAACCAGAGCATAAGATATGCTTTTTTTCTAGGTTTAGCAAATATTTTGTCAAATGGGTGGCTATTGATGACCGTTTGGTTTCAAGTTTCTGTATCAAGTTTGTTCCCCTGTTTTTACTCACCCTGAGCTCAATTCATGCATAATCAATTGCCTTGCCATTCTTCTAAAATTCTACTTGTTCCCACATTAATTCATCCATGTTTAAGTAAACAATAGAATCCTTGCACTTTTGTTCTACAAGTACCTGAATGGAAGGAAAATATTTACTTTTGCACCATGTTCCAGTTATATTTCGAGTTTGCATTTTTGTTAGGACCTTAAGAGAATCTTTATTTTACTATTGTGCATTTAACATGCATTCCATCTCATTTTGAAAAGAAAAAAAAAATGCATGTACAAGCTTTGAACTTTATAAATCTGGTTTTTTGAAGTCTATTGAAAAATATAGCATCACTTTTTGATACTCTTCACGACAGTAACTCACTCAAACATAATTCTTCTATTGTTACCATCATTGTAATTTTGAGTTGTTTCAGGTTCTAGCTTTAGTAAATTTGAAATTTATTGATGATAAGCTTATGCATAAATTTTGAGTTTCAAATTTTAGGATCTTGCTTAGAATGAAAAGCTGGCAGATTGAAGAATTTTATTATCCTTAAAAGACAACAATGCTTCTCTGTCAAACCGTATAAGTGACAATCTTTAAAGATGTGGAGCTCATCAATCATCCAAAATCTTACTCACCATGTTCATGGTCTTATCCAAAATCTATAATTGATCAATAATTTGTATTTGTTCGAGTTATTTGTTCTTTTTTGAAATTGCCAAGACGAGAGCTAATGAGTGGTTCCATTTCACTTGGAATGTTGATATTGTTTTTCATCTGCACCATGAGTATGTTCGCCAACTCCACCAAATACAAACACACCTCCATGAGCATCGACAATATTTTTAACCCTCAAGAGGACAACTTCCTTAGTCTGTTACAACCTGCAGTTGCAGCTTGTGAAACGGTGCTTTTCTGTATTTTTTTCAATGTTTTGTTGAAAATTTAAATAGAAAAATGTATTGACTATTGTCATTACCTTTCTATTCTGATGGCTTTGTTGTTGTGGAAACAAACTTTAGGATGTATGCATGCCCATCATCTAAACTGCATTGCAAGTTTTCAAGGTATGCTAGGAATTTGCCTAATAAGTACTTTGGATGCTCTATTCTAAAATAAGGCTTAAAAAAATGATAAAGGAGTAAGAGATATTTCAAGATAATTGAGAAGAAGTCCTTTCCATAATTGAAAAAACCTCCCTCTAGCACACTCTTAGGCAAGACTTTTGATCATTTAAATTTCCAGACCTTGCAAAAAATCACTGTGTTTTCAAGCCTTTCTCCTTGAATGCTATCCTAGATTTGACAGTTAGTAAGCCATCTTGTCTGGTCAAAATCCATGTGGGCAATCCATAGTTACTTTACCACTCCAAATATGGCAATATGGAAGCATCAGTCATTTAATCTTTTACTTGATAGAGCAGCTAAGATTTTACAATAATAGTTAATAAAATGATGAAGTTTGGTCCTTTTTCCTTTACGTGAGCTTGAGTTTGGTTGCTAATTTCAATTTATTTGTTATTAAGCAAATTCGTTTGCCTTCTCATCTCTACTACAATTGTGTTCATGTGTAATACTTTGAACCTCTTATCAACTTATGGTTTTGTTTTCTTATCTTGCAGGTAGCTTTTGAGGATGCTTGAGACTCTCCACAACAATATTGAGGTTTGTTATGGGAAAACTTTAAAAAAAAAAAAATGGAAGTGCAGGCTGAAATATCCATGCACATCTGAGAGTTCCCTCCTCATCAAAGGCAATAGATTCTATGTGCAATCTGTAAGAAAGGATTTGAAGTGATTTGAATGTCTGGTGTGCGATGATTTGGAAAGTTAGATGGATTCCATGCTGATGCTAAAGTTTGCTCCCTTATTGATGAAAGCACTGATGTCTGGAATGCAATGAAGCTCTCATCACATAGTGCTTTTTGGATTTTGAAGCTGAGTTGACATGTAAAATCCCTTTTTCCCCATGGCTTGTTAATGACAAATTGGTTTGGCACTTTACTAAAAATGGCCTTCTTTTTTCTGTTAATCGGCATATCATTTGGAGATGGATTTGCAAAGAAGAGAAACATGGGTCAGTTCTTCAGATGGGGCGAGTTTTGAAAGGGCATTTTGGAAGAAGATTTGGCTGCTGAAAGTTCTGAATTAAGTGAAAATCTTTGAATGAAAATCTGTTCGAATATCCTCCCTGTTTAGTGAAACTTGAATAGGTGCAAAGTAATTCAATTTGATTACTGTTATTGTACATTAGTGCTATTTTTGGTGGATTGAGTCAGCTTACAATGTGATTGAATATGTTAGCATTGTAGTCATTCACTTCCGCACCCAACACAATTTGTGGATAAATGCAGTTCTGGGCCATTTTTAAGTCTCTTGACACAACACATCTTCATTTGCAGCTTTGCTTAGGTGGCTGATTTATTAGAATTTAACTTTCTTCTAGTCTTGACACAACACACCTTTTAACTTTTTTTTCTATGTAAGTGAAGTTTTAAAATATTTTTACTTTTGAAATGTATCTCAGTGTGTAGATTAAGTGAATCTGCAAAGCAAAAAAATTACTTAAAATATTTAAAAAGTTCACTAAAAATGAAAAATAAACTCAAAAACTATTTTTGATTTAAACTTCTCAAAACAATAGATCGTGAATTTATATTTGATGGGGGTCTTTTAACTTTTTAATAAGATTAATTTATATCAAACAAAATATTGATAACATAAATAATTTTTTTTTTTTTAAATTTGATAGTTTGATGGGTTACTCAGACACAATCGGTTACTATGCAGAGTTGCCTCTAAACAAGATACATCTCCATTACTTAGTGGTGGACATTGATCACATCGACGACTACGATTGGGGTGGCGCTGCTCTAGTCACCCTCTATAGAGACGCTAGTGTTGTCATGTGCAACTGAGAGATGACCATTGAAGGCCATTAGAAACGATGGAAGGTACAATTTACTATTTTATGTCATTTCTACATTGCACATGTCATTTATACATTTATTCTGAAATTTTTGCCTCATCTTGTACTAATCAACTCTCTGAATTGTAGATATAGAGCTTTGAGTATTTCAGGGGCGAATGCCCCTGACACTCAGGAGATGGACTAGCACGTTGTCCTTTGGTCCCGACAATACTTCTGTTAGCATTGCCGCCAGGCCCCAAGGTTGTCGAGCTTTTACAAGTTTAGATAGTATTACAACATAGTGACCCTCAATCAGACAATTGGGTTGATCCCTCTTCAATCATGTACTCTGTTGCTTTCATTCATTATTCTATGAGATTTCTAAACGTCATACTTGTCTTGTTTGTGACTTGGGCATTGTGGGCAGGTGTGGCATCGAATACCGTGATGTGCTTCATCGCAGTGCTCGACATCACTCTGGTGAGTTGGAGAGGATTTTGCTAGAGGGCCCGTTCTATTGAGTTTGGTATTCGGCAAGCGGGGATGCTGCTAGTCTATGGGGATGGCCGCCCCCAGAGTGCCTGCCGTGGTACCAGATTGCATGCGGACTACTAACACCTTCACTCCAGAGGATATCATACCAACCATAGAGGTCATCAATGTAGAGTTCTTCTATGGTGTGGCATATAATTCCTTCATGACCACAACTTCCTGACTAAGTGAAGGCAGAGAAGAATATATGGCACAATACAATCCATCCGTCCCCAATATTGTGATCAATTCATTGCACATGCACCTTGTGTGAGATAAGAGTGTGTTTGTGTGTGACTACTTTCTTTTTTTTATGAAAAATGCTAAGAGCCCACCCTTACGGACCCCCGAATTTACCTCGAATGTGTTTGTGTAGTAGAGATTGAATTGATAAAGTGTGGGTCTACATATGAAATGAATATAAACCATTGATTTCTTTTCTAGTAAATTCTAGGTAGATAAGGGTGAGTTTGTAATATTGTTGCTTTTTTATAGGAGGCAAAGTTACTATTTCATCTGACCAATTATTTTATTTATTTATTTATTTTGCCATAATTTCATTTTTACAAGTTTTTATTTTCAAAACCATAACGTTATAAATTTTAACCAATTGAGATTTTACTATGTTAACGTTAGCTTAGACAATAAAATCCAACCACCACCATCACTAACCATCACAATAATCATAACACATTTTAATTATTATATCAAATTTCTTAAAATTTGAAATATAAAAATCAAATAAACAAAACCCAAAATTGATTAAAAAATCAATTTGTTCCAAAAATCATAAAATTAATCAAGATTTTTGAAGCAAATCAATTTTTTAGGAACCTCCAGAATTAATTTATGTATATTGCACATACATATCACTCCCTACATTAAAAACTCCATCATGAAACCCATACCTTGATGTGCACACCATGCCTTTTTGGTGATTATAATTTTTTTTTTTCTTTTTTATATATTAGCTTGAGTTGCCATTAACTTGTCTAGATAGTACATGAGTCCACATTTACTTTAGAAATACAAAGAAAATCAAAATCCTTATTAATTTGCTTAATATCATTAATAATAGCCACAATGCTCCAATCAGGGATGCCTTGCCGTTGCAAAGTAGATACCAAAACTTGACTATCCATGAAAATGGAGATGCTTAACATATGCTGGCTTTTAGCCCAATGAATAGCTTACCAACACACTTTAACTTCGGCCAACAATGGAGAAGCTACATCCTAGAAGCATAATCTTGAACCCGTGATTGATCTATATTGAAGCAAACACATGCCACGCCCGCACTTTGATCAGCTGCCCGCCACGAACCATCTATGACAAAAGTCTACACCTAGTAATCTGTCACATTAGAGAGAGAATTTGCAAGCATACATATATCATCATTATTACAAACATCAACAGTAGATGTAGAGGTATTAAAGCTCTTCAGCAAGAAGATTTGCTTGTACTTGTGTCATAGTCATGCCTTTAAACACAACTATTTCTCTAACGCCAAACGGTCCCAAAGAATAGCAATGGATTGAACAATAATTTCATGATTCCAAACCTTCTTAATCTACCAGTTCCCCAAAAAACATGGGACTTCCTCTAGAAAAATAAGGCCTAATGAAGAAGTTCGCCAAACCCGTTGAGAATACTAACATTCTACGGTCTCAATCCCTCTATCACATCACAGACAACTAGGCTCAGTGGAAACTCCTCTCCCATATAACACCCATCAGACCAAAAAAATACAGTTAAGACACTTCTATAAGAAGAGTGTCCACTTAGGTAGTCTAAGATTCTACAATCGCTAATGGTGACGTGTACCCTACGGCCTGAGCTTGCTGCATATAAATACTGCCCCAAATAATTTGATCTCGCAAAGGCACCACCAGTAAATGAATACCCCTAATACAATCTATGCACTCTAGTGGAAAAATTACTCATAGAAGATCAATCCTCAAGCATGATTTTGAGTATCAATGAAATGAGGTAGATTCAAGCATGTTAAAGAATTGCGAATATTTGGAATACATTGATCCTCCAAAGAGGATTAATTAACTTACCATTCCCTACCAAACATGGACTCGAGAACTTTCAATGGAATAGAAGTGAGAATTCTACTAAATAATTATGCTTAAAATAATTAGTTTTCGATGAATTAATTTTTTTTTTTTTAAATTGAAAAATAACAGTCAGTAGTTCAAAGGGGAAATATCATTTTAACATCAGTACAAAAAATATATTCAATTTAGTGGTTATAGTTAATTAAATTTGCTTTTCATATTGCAAAGTTTCTACTAAATTAATATTATTTTTTCCAACTTTTCATTAAAATGGTATTTCCCTTGTGTAGAAAAGAACAAATACAGGATCAGGATCTACCTACTGCATAGAAGAAAAAAAAAAACTATCCAAAACACGCCACATAAAAAATAAAAAAAAAATTAAAATAAATAATAATAAAAAAACTTCAACCCTTCATCCATTCCACAAAAATACCACTGTATCAACAGAGCATTATACAACTACTAAATCAGCACCTCATAATTTACACACAAATCAACAAGGAAGTTCCTCTCCAAGCTCCAACTTGCATATCCAGTATTCTCTCTCTAATAATAAAACCTAATTATCAGCACAATCAATGGTATTTAATTGTTGTAACAACCAAAATAATGGCATGTTACAATACAAAAATGGATTGTATGTGGAACCTATAAAATTCTCAAACTGATGAAAAATAAAACACTTTTATCTTTTAGGCGAATTTCTAACGTAGTAAGATTATTGGTTAATTACATTTTTAGTTCCCAAAATATGAGTAAATTGGAACAATTTTATATATTGCGGAAACGATTGACACAATTTAAACATTGAGGATCAAATTGAAACACTTCCATACATTAGGAACCAAATTGACACAATTTAGATATTGAGGACCAAAAATGTAATTAAGTCTAAAGATTTTCGTAAGGCCCTAAACTCCAAAAGAAAAATAATAATAATAAAAAAGGTGGATGGGCAAAATTTAGGAGGGCGACTCTATTGCCAAGGCAAAAATTATGTTGAATTGACAAAACTGCCATCCAAGTTAATTCTCCTATTAGGGAAGGTCAACGATGACTGAGAAGAATGAAAAAAGAAAATGCGATAATAGCCACCCCAAGCAAGTAAAGACTTATTATCCAGATAATTAGATTACCTGCAATTGCTGCTGACGAAATAAATAGAGAAACCCAGTTTTAGGCAATGCACCTAGTTCAATTAGCTCATCATGGCTTTTGGGTGGATTGCCCAACTCCATGAGCGAAACAGAAACCTGTGAATTTAGCAAGAAACAAAAACTAAAAACTACTATTCTTTACTATAGATCCTTTGTTTCTCTTACAAATTTCCTTGAGAAGGGAAAAATGTATTGTTTTTAAAATGAAGAAATTGGCAAAATGGTAGAATTAGGGGTGCACACGGGCAGGGCAGGTTGAACCTCTCTCTACTACCGAACCGGAATAGTGCAGGTGGATTAAATATCAACTGATTTCGACCGGTTTAGTTGGCAAAACCGCCCCAGATGATTTTCGATTTAATGGTCGAGTTCGGCTCGGTTGGGCACGTTGGGCCTTCAATTTTGGGCCTTTATGAGTAAATATTATTTTTAACCCATTTAACATTCAAACAACCCAATTTTATAATTTAGTTATGTTTCGCTTTGGAAAATGATCCAAACAGCCCTTTCTACAGATAAGCCCATTAAAAAAAAAAAACTTAATAATTTATTTAAAATCAAGCCAAACAGCCCATTATGAATAAAATAAATAACTTGTAAAATAAATCCAAGCATAAACAGTCCAAACTAAAATATTTCATTCATCCAAGAATAAAAAAAAATTGTTTGGCATACTAAATGAATAACCTGTGTAAAATCAATCCAAAAACAAACCTGTTGCCAAAAAAATACATCAAAGTAAGCTAACTAAATAAATAATAAATGAATAATCTGAAGCACTGGGAATAGAATCTGTCCAAATGAATAATCTGAAGCATTAACATAATAAATACTAAATAAATAATCCGAAGCACTAGGAATAGATCTGTCCAAAATAGAATTTGTCCAAAATACATCAAATGCATCAAATAATCTGAAGCAATAGAAATAGAATCTGTCCAAAATACATCGAATGCAATAAACACTATTGCCAAAAAAATTCCACCTATGGCCACCATCCACATTAAAACTAACAAAATAAGCTAACTACTTAGTTTGTCACCATCCATTTTCAGTCTATCATAATTACAAACAGTAATCCATCAAAACATTCAGAAGTATAGTTATCCCAATCACTATCCATGTGCAAAAATATTTGTTCATAAAGTCAAAAAGAAGAGTACTGATCTATGTTAATGGTATAAAACCAAAAATCAAGAAAGTCAGTTAACTCCCCATGAAACCAAAAAGATCGAAGCCTGCAAATCTAAAAAACATAGAAGATGAGAACATGTTGCAAATAGATTTTATTAATTAAGTAAGAAGTAAAAATTAAAGATATAGAATTGAGTAACTTTACCAAGCCATACTAGAGTGTGATAATATTTGGACTTGGGTTTGAGGTTGATGCCAATTCAGAAAGAGCTACAAGTAGTAGAACAATTAATTCAAATTTAAAACAATGTTATGTTGTGTTTAGTACAAAACATAAATATAAAAATAAATCAAAAAATTACCTACAGGGTCATATTGTTCAAGTTCCTCCACATCATCCATTGCCTTCCGAAGAGAAATAGGAATTGTGCTTTGAAGCCAATTCTGTGTACATATCAGAGCCTCCACCATCATTGGAGATAATGAACTACGAAATGGGTCTAAAATGCGTCCTCCTATACTAAAGGCTGATTCGCAAGCAACTGTAGAGATGGGTATTGCCAAGACATCACATGCAACTTGAGACAACACTCTATACTTGGAAGAATTGACCTTCCACCATCCCAATATATCAAACTTTTCTTCATTGGAAGCATCACACCTGTCTGCCAAGTACCTATCAACCTCAGATTTACACAGACTAGAGCATTCTTCTTCCAAATAAGTATTAAATTGAGAAGCAATTATAGATGTGGATCATCACAATCATCATCAACCTTCATCGCTGATCCTTCGCACACATTAAACATTTCTACAGTTACCGAATCATGAGAAGCATAATGCTCGTACAAACGAGACAAACAATCCTTTACTCGTCCTGTCATCTCATTCACCACTCTTTCAACAAGCAATTGTGCAAAACAGAATTTCAAGTACCTCAGTTGCTTCCAAGGATCAAGTAAAACAGCAACATACACAAGTAAGTTGATTTTCTCCCCATTACCCCAATACTTTTCAAATTTTTCTTTCATGTTTTGTGCCATTGTGGACAAAAGTTTGTCATCCTTTTTGATTAATTGCTCTATCTTGGTTTGGATGACAAACATCTCATCAAAGAAGTAATTGGAAGTAACAAAAAGAGAACCTGAAAATCGTTTGGTTGCATTGTAAAAAAGTTTTAAGAACTTTAAAAAAATTCTGCAATTATTCCAATCTCTTGCTGTTGGAGATCTCCTTGACTTCTTCCGCCCATTTTCCCTATCCCCATCCTCATTCTCATCTTCATCCCCAAACACCTGCCCATCTCCATCCTCACCCTCGCAAACTGTTAAGTATTATTGTATAAGGGTAGTTAAGGATAGTTATGTCTTTTGTTCCTTTAGTCTTTTATTATAAGTATGTGTAACCCTAATAGGTTTATGAGTGTGAATAGTATACAGTTCTCTTCCTTTTCTTTCTTTTATGCAAATCTAACACAAACCTTGAAGTAAGCTCGGTAATTAGAGTCCTCATCCTCTAATCTCTCAAAAGCCTTTTCAGCAGCTTCCAACATTAGGTAAGTGGAGTTCCACCTAGTTGGCACATCAAGACACAAGACTTTTCGACACAACTTTTTGTTTCTCAACACACTTCTTAAAAACTTCATATCTATTGGGAGAGGACCTTACATACCTCACAGCTTCACAAACTCTAGCAATGGATGTATGAAGCTCTTTCAAACCATTTCCCACTATAAGGTTCAGAATATGCGCACAACAGCGCATGTGTAAGAACTCACGCCCCAAAATAGTCCCTTTCCAGTCCCTTGTTTTCCGCTTTAAAAACTTAATTGTGGTGCGGTTGGAACTAGCATTGTCTACAGTCAATGTAAATATGCTACCAATGTTCCATTCAAGTAAGCACATTTCAAGTTTTTTACGAATTGTCTCTCCCTTATGATCTTCCACTTGACCAAAGTTTATGATTTTTTGTTGCAATTTCCAATCATCATCTATAAAGTGGGCTGTGAGACACATATAGTTTAAGTTTTAAATTGAGGTCCACATGTCAGTGGTAAGGCAAATCCTACGCCCTTTCAATACTTTCCTCAACCTATCCCTCTCATTGTTGAAAATCCCTACAATGTCTCTAGCAATGGTAACACGAGATGGAATGTTCTTAAACTTTGGTTGCAAAACGGTGCAAAATCTCTTAAACCCTTCACCTTCTACAAACCTAAAAGGTAATTCATCAAGCACCATCATCTCAGCAAGAGCTCTTCTTGCAGCGTCTACACTAAAGCTCATTGCCACAAGATTAATACCCTCGTCTCCATCTTTTTTGGACTGAAAAGACAAAGTTTGTTGTCCATTATTATCCACATCTCTGTGAGGATATTTTCGACAAGAAGTCAAGTGACTTAACAAGTTGCTTGTCCCATTCCCCTTCGAATCAGCCAAATACTCCTTTTGACAATATTTACAAACAGCCCTAGTTACCCCATCTTCAGCCTTGATTTTATCAAAATGATCCCATGCCCTTGAAGGTTTTCTCCCAGTACCTTTTGCACGCACCTTAGGTGGTTTTGAAGGATTATCAATAGGGTCTTGGATAGTAGAAGGGCGAACAACAGTAGCATCCTGGGCAATAGGTTGATTTGGATGATCCATTATCTATTACAAATTAAAAATAAAAATAAAAAAGAAAAGAAGAAAGAACCTCGTGAAAGATTGCATGAACAATTTAAAAGCAATGATACAAAAACATGATAAACTTAAACAAAAATCATAACAGCATTTAAAAAATAATAGACATTTTGAAGCTACTTTAAAACCAATTCCTGAGAAAACTGAAAAAACAAAAAGCTCAAAGTCTATTTTTTTAAACAGAACACATTAAACCTTTAATAATCAATACCTTTAAAAATCAATATGAACACATTAAACAGAACATATCAATCAATATGTTCAAACAGAACACATTAAACCTTGAATAATCAATATGAACACACATTTTCAAACAGAACACAGTAAACCTTTAATAATCAATATGAACACATAAACCTTTGAAAAACTCAAGGATTATTAATTTGAATAAAGAACATATTAAACAACAGAACAATCAATATCAACAGAAATATTTTAAACTGAAAAATAAATTGTTATTGATATGTACTGAAAAATTTTAACATTTTAAATTGAAAAATAATGAACAGAAACAGTTCAAATAAATTGTTAATGAAAACTGAAAAATTTAGCACTATCATATTCAGTTCTCATGAAACGATAATCAAATACGTATATGATATCTACCATATTTTAGCACTAAAAAAAAACAAAATCTCAAAGAAAAAAATAATGAAAAAAAAATAGTACCCATTTGAAAAATCTTTCTGTTTCCAGGGCTGAAAATCCGAATTGAAAATCCGAGTTCATGCAATGAGACAGTGAGAAAACAAAAACAGAGAGTGAGTAGGTGTATGTATGTAATACATGTGTTTTTTTACTTTTGAGAGAGAGAGAGAGAGAGAGAGAGAGAGAGAGAGAGAGAGAATGGGTTGGAAGGTTTGAGTAAACATTATTAAAACAGCGATGAACCATTAACAAAAAAAATTACAAAATTTTCATAAAATTGTACCTAGGGTTTGGTTGATCGTTAAGTAGAGAACTTTGAAACTTCAATACTTTGAAGTTACAGGGCTTTCTTCATCAATAGCCTTGAATCAAAGAGGGTTTTCACAGTTGATCTTTAATATATAGAGTATTTAGGGTTTGAAATTAAAGATTTAGTTCAGATTTATGGGTGAGACCATTAGAGAAACTATGGATGCATTAGGTTTTCCAAGAGAAATACGGAGAGAATTCGTGAGAGAGAGAGAGACAGAACTTGGGAAATTTCTGAAGAAAGTCAGAGCTTGTATATATATATAGAGAGAGAGAGAGAGAGGAAAGGGTAGGTGGGTGCTCATCATCATCCACCTGCTGTCTGAGTTTTTTGAGATACAATATGGTTTGAAATTTGTGACTGTGAGAGAGACCATCATCATCTGCCGTTTGATTTTTTGAGATACAAGATGATGGTTTGAAATCTGTCACTGTGAAACAAAGAGAAACAGAGAGGGGAAAGGGGGGTTGGTGAGATCATCATCATGGTCTGTCTTTTGAGTTCTTTGATGAGATAGAGAGAGATGTCTATATATTTATAAATATCTATAAATATGAAGAAGGGGAAAAGATAAGGGTGTTGGAAGTTGTGTGTGTGATTTGTCAAATCAATTAGAGAAATACATATAGAACCATCATCAGAATTCTGTATCATTAATTTATTAATAATATACGGTCGGTTTGGTTTTAATTATTTTTTATTATGTAGAACCGAAATCCGACCGAAAACCAAAATTAATTTTGAAACCAGGCCCGCCTTCGACCGAAATTAAGCTCGAAACCATCCGTGATGCATTCGGGTCAGTCGGTTCGGGTCGGATTTGTCGGATGATGCGGTTGCTTGAACACCCCTAGGTAGAATGTTACATGGTGAACCAACTGCTTTGAAGAAACACAAAAGGACTTCCAGCTTCCAGAAAACAACTTCACCTACATATATCTAAGAATAACTTCTGGAATGCAACACCTTCGACAAAGGCCCCACACAATGTATGTAGCTGGGCCTTCCAGAGAACCATCTTTGCTTGAATACCAGGCATCTAATCATGAGATCTCCATTGTTACACCAGCTTGAAATCGAACAAGTTCTTCTGCATTCATACATTATATAACCAAGAAGAAAGTCAATGTTGTTTTAAACAATACACAACCTATAACTAGCTGCTCACGTCCAGGTTTTGCATTGTGTTTACATCTCCATTTACTAAATACCATGTAGGACAGGACATATGATGTCAAACAGCTCCAAGTAATTCATGTTGGATGCCTTGTATTAGACTTTACCCAATCCGACATATAGAACCAAATTGTATTTCAGGTATTGGCCAATTTTTGACAAATTAGAGAAATACATATAGAACCATCATCAGAATTCTGTATCATTAATTTATTAATAATATACGGTCGGTTCGGTTTTAATTATTTTTTATTATGTAGAACCGAAATCCGACCGAAAACCAAAATTAATTTTGAAACCAGGCCCGCCTTCGACCGAAATTAAGCTCGAAACCATCCGTGATGCATTCGGGTCAGTCGGTTCGGGTCGGATTTGTCGAATGATTCGGTTGCTTGAACACCCCTAGGTAGAATGTTACATGGTAAACCAACTGATTTGAAGAAACACAAAAGGACTTCCAGCTTCCAGAAAACAACTTTACCTACATATATCTAAGAATAACTTCTGGAATGCAACACCTTCGACAAAGGCCCCACACAATGTATGTAGCTGGGCCTTCCAGAGAACCATCTTTGCTTGAATACCAGGCATCTAATCGTGAGATCTCCATTGTTACACCAGCTTGAAATCGAACAAGTTCTTCTGCATTCATACATTATATAACCAAGAAGAAAGTCAATGTTGTTTTAAACAATACACAACCTATAACTAGCTGCTCACGTCCAGGTTTTGCATTGTGTTTACATCTCCATTTACTAAATACCATGTAGGACAGGACATATGATGTCAAACAGCTCCAAGTAATTCATGTTGGATGCCTTGTATTAGACTTTACCCAATCCGACATATAGAACCAAATTGTATTTCAGCAAATTTAGACAAGGACCTGAAGGTATTGGCCAATTTTTGACAGAAGAGCCAACAATCCAACTGCCAATATCCTTTTGTCAAGCAACATGCAGAAAGGGCCGAAAAACTTTTGTAGACTTTCAAATTAGCATGTTCCAATATGTCTCCCGTCATTCCTTTGTATTTTAGTTACTTGTAAATTCTATTCAACACATAAACATGGCATGATTTTTTTGGAAACAAAAAAGTATTTAATTAAAGCCACAAGCTTGCAACTCTGTATACATGTTAACATATACATATAACAAGCTTTTATTTTTTCAAGATGTATTTGGATGTCCCCTGAAATTTGATTATTTCTATTGCACATCATGTGGAATCTGAAGTAAAAGTTGATCACCCAAAAAATTGAGCCATCAAATAAAATAGGAGTCTTCAACCAATTCCAGTTATCAGATTTAAGTTCCAAAATAATGAATTTTGAAACGATAATGCAGTTACAACCATTCCGTACCTTTAAAGCCAGCAGCAATCACTGTAGCAAGAATACCACCATCATTAAGTTCATGTGGACCAAGTCCATCACTGTTTGTTGCCAAGCAGCGAAGAACAACCTCAATGCAGTAATTGTCTGTTGACGAGATAGAGACACTCATCTTCCCATCAAGGAAAAATGAACGGGACAAAAGATGTGTATAGAGGGTTTTTTTGTGGTCAAAGTTTGTAAAGGCGAATGCATAACTCGAGGGTTTTTTTTTTTTTTTTTTTTGGCAGCCGGGGTCCGGATCAAAGCCAGACTAATTCCCAGGGGTGCACAAGCCCTCGGCAAGGAGTTTTCCACAAGTGGACCACGGTTAATTCAAGGGTTTTCCTCCAATTCGATGGCCCCAAGCAGTGTTATTAAAAGTGCGCCTAGGCCCAAGTCCCATCCAGGCCCAAGGTTTGCGCCTTGCAGTGTTCCAGGCCAGGCGACTTGAATACGGCACGCCTAGGCCCAAGTCCCATCCAGACTTAAGGTTTGCGCTTTGTAGGGTTCCAGGCCAGGCGACTTAGATAAGGCACATGACTGGTCCAAGGCACAATAAGGCCCATGTCTTGAGGGCTTTTTTTATTGTTGTTTTAATTGGTTTTGTTTAAATTTGACAATTGATTTAAGATGATACAACTACAAAAGATCCCTACTCTTATTACACATGCCAATACATTGGGCATTCAACCATAAACCAATGATAAAAAAAAAATTAGCCCTGATTCCTAATCTCCAAAGAACACTTTACTATACTGCATGCCTTCATTATCCAGTCCAGCAAATTCAAAAATTCTTCTTCACGTTCTTTTTTTTGGTTCTCTTCTTACATTTTTGTCTCATTCTCTTCTCTTCTCTTCTTGTTGTCTACGTTATTGTCTTCTCTACTTTTCGCCTCTACGTTGCTATCTTCTTCTTCACATGGCTGTAATGATATTGCCTTCTTCTTCTTCCATCTTCTTATGCTTATTCTCCGGTCTTCTTTTCTTTCTCATCATTCTTTAGACCGTTCTATTCCCCCTCCCCTCTTTAGACCGTTCTATTCCCCCCCTCCCCCTTTATTCTTCTTCTCCCCTCTCATTTTATTCATGTTTTATGTTAAATTTTGAAATATTGCTCATTTGCCTATGTTAAAATAGTAGTATTTGTTGGTATAGATATTTTTAAATGTTTGATATTTCATTTTGCTTATGTTGAACCCTAAATTATTTACTTATATTAAATTCTATATTTTTTTATGTACAAGATGCACCTCACTTCGGTGAAGCTTACGTCTCGCCTTGCACCTTGAGCCTAGGCCCTAGGAGACCTTGGCACCTTGGTGCGCCTATCGCCTTTAATAACACTGGCTCCAAGGAATTGTTAGCACCTAAGAGGTTTCGATCCTTGACCTTGGAGGGAGCACACCCCCAAGACCCAAGGCCTTGCCACTAGGCCAACCCCTTGAGATTTAACTCAAGGGGAGGCGTAAGGCTTAAGGCATTGAGGCGTAAGCATTCAAAATTTAAATTTTAATATTTAGTTATTAAAATATATTTCAAATTACTAAATAAATAAATGAAATTATTAAAATATAAAAATGTAAATACTTTTCTCCTTTGGGCATTAAACATTTCACTGTAGAGAAGGAAACTTGCCTTCATTAAAAGTGAAATTAACATTCTTAGCTTTAGTGATTGAACTTCTCACTTGAACATTAACTATGTTTTTTCTTGATTGATCATTTCCTCTTACAGAATAGAGTTGCAAAAATAGTTCTTTTTATTTTTATTTATTTCTTTCTTTATGTTTGTTTCATCTACTAGCATAAGTTTAACAAGAGCCTAGGGAAACTTCTTCATATGCCCTCGTATGCTTATGATGTACATGGCTCACCTAAGGTGCATGCCACAGACTGATGCGCAACCCTTTGGAAAACTTAGTCTAAAAATCAAAGCCTTGATACGTTTTATCTTAGCCTCCAGGCAAGGTGAATATTAGGGCGAGCCTCAGTAAAGCCTTTTAATACTTTGGTTGTGGTATGAAACCCAAGAAGTAAGGATAAAGACAACACAACAAGTTCCAAATACTTAGGATACAACCACAGCTGAGTCATGGCTAATTATATATTTAATAACCAAACCAAACCAAGCCTTAAATCCCATCAAATGGGGTCGGCTACATGAATCCTTCTTCTCCACGCGGCCCTATCAAAGGCCATTTCATTAGTTAGAGGAGTATGAGATCGAGCCACTATATATAGATGTTGGAAACCATCAGCAAAAGAAGATTGATCCATCCAAACATCCTTCCAAAATCAAACAAGTTTCCCATTGCTCACCCCTTACAGAAAGATGACGAGACCAACATGTGAAAATTTGAGAAATTGACTTCCAAGGAGCAAAACAGTTACCCCTGAAAACCACCAGTGAATCCCTACCATTTTCATGAGTCCCATATTTGCTTCTTATAAGCAAATGCCATAGTGAATCAGTTTCAAGTGGAAATCTCCATAACCACTTGCCAAGAAAGGCCATGTTCCTAGCCAAAATATCACCGATAGCCAAACCCTCTTTCTCTTTAGGTAGCCACACTAACTCCCAATTCACCAAGTGATCCTTTTTTCCCCTCATCCTTGCCTTCCCAAACAAAATCCCTCATCAACTTTTCTACTGACCTTACCACCTTAACAGGAACCTTGAACAAAGATAAATAATAGATAGAAATACCACTCAAAACAATCTTAACCAAAGTGTATCTTTCCCCACGTGATAATAAAGCCTTACTCCACCCTTCCAATCTCTTGCCAATCTTTTCCACAACTGGATTCCAAAAAGCTTCACTCCTAGGATTACCCCCCAATGGAAGACCCAAATATTTGAGAGGAAACTGTTCAATAGGACATCCCAACATATTCACCATCCTTTGCACATAGGAGACTCCAAATTAATACCCACAACACTATTGTTACTAAGATTAACCTTGAGCCTTGACACAATTTCAAGGATTCTCAAAAGCATTAGCAAATTGCCAACCTTACCCTCCTCCTTTGATGAAAAAAAGATAGTGTCATTCGCAAACTGTAAATGGGTGACTCCAATCCTATCCCCACCCACCGCCACCACAATTCTTCGATAACATCATTTTCTTTAGCTAGATCGATGACTCTACCAAACACATCAACTACTAAAATAAATAAAAATGGTGACATATTACGTGACAACATTCACAATGACATAAAAGAATTTCCAGCCTTACCATTCACAATGACCGACATATTGCATGATGACACACACCCCCAAATCCACCTCCTCCACCTAGACCCAAAGCCCTTCCTCTTCAACACAAAATCCAAAAAGCCCCAATCCACATGATCATATGCTTTCTTGAAATCCACCTTAAAAACAACGCCCTTTTTATGCAATCCCCTATACTCCTCAACTGAGAAGCGCGGACATGAAAACGAAAACAAATGCTGGCAAGGACAAGGGACATGGCGATTTTCAAAAAATTGGGACAAGGACACGAACACAGCGGGGACACAGCAATAAAATATGTTTTCATATATTTGTATTTGCTATCTAGATTAATATTATATCCACAAACAATCAATATTAACATAAAGTAACTCTAATTCTATATTTTTTTTTATAAAAAATAAATAAATTAATAAAAACACTTTTAAATTAACACATCTTTTTTTATAGATGATCTATTAAGTATTCAAATCTAAGAAAAAAATAATAAACATTTAACATTCATCAAAAGCACTAAATAAAATGGGAAAAAAGACAACTTGGCATGTAGTGTGTCCCCAAAGTGTTCCCGGTGTGTCCCTTAAAAATAAATTAATTAAATAAGGGACACGCCATGCGGTGTGTCCCGTACGTGTCTCCGTCGTGTTCGCAAGTCCTCGAAAGTGTCAACAACCTCATTGGCTACTAGGACCACATCCAGGATTTGTCGTCCATGCACAAAGGCCCCTTGTGAGGGAGAATGGTTTCCCCAAGGACAGACCTAATTCTTATGGAGAGCACCTTTCCCAAAAATTTGTGAAGTGGTGTAACCAAAGTAATGGGTCTGAAATCTCCAATCTTGACCAACTTCTCTTTCTTGGGAATGAGACAAATGAAGGATGCATTGGTGCATAAGTTAACCTCTCCACTCTCAAAAAACTCACCAAACACTTTCATAAGATCCCCTTTCACGATCTCCCCACAGTCTTGAAACACTGCCATTGAGAAACCATCTAGGCCTAGAGCCTTATCTCTCTCACATTCAAACACGACCTGTTGCACCTCACATTCTTCAAATGGTCTCTCGAGCCAACTAGCTTTCAAGGTATCCACAGGACCCCAAAAAGTACCTTCGATCCTTGGACAGTCCACTCCTCCATCAGAATAGAGAATTGAGTAAAAATTGAAAATCTCATTAACGATTTGCTCCTCCTTATTTACCACCAATCCTTGCCCAATTTCCAAATTTTTAATGAAATTCTTCTTCCTTTTCCCTAATGCAACCCTATGAAAAAATTTTGAATTGATCTCGCCCTCTTTTGTCCATTTCAACTAAGCTCTTTGTCCCCAAAAAATCTGCTCCCTAAGAACAAGCTCTTCCAACTTTAAATTTGACCAATGATCTCTCATCCCTTGAAGTCCTAGATAAACTCTCCCCAATCTCCTTTGCATCCAAATCTTCAATACCCCGAACTAACTCTACTTTCAACTCATTGAGATCACCAAAATAAGTTTGACGAGAATAAGGAAGAGGTCAATCAAAAAAGCCTGAGAGGGAGAAATGAGAGTATAGGGAGCTATCCTCAGAATTAAGGATCGAACAGAAGATAATTATCATCCAGATTGACGAAAGATCTAGAGGGAGTATAGTGGAGATTATAGAGAGGAATCGACTGCAAAGCTTCTCTCTGAAGATTGATTTGGGCGGTGTAAGTTGGGCAGTGCTAGCACTTCAGCAAGTGGGGAAGCATTTCAAAGGAGGCTTTCTTTAGTAAGTACCATAGCAGCTCCGTTGTGTTTTGTTTACAGAAGTATAACATTGGCAGAGGTGTTTTTGTTTGACTTGTCAAAATGGGAGGGAGGTGTCAAAAGAGGCAATATTATTATTCCGGCGGGGAATAATGGTCGCGGGTGGCTCGATACAGCTATAATGCTTCATTAAATCATTTGCAATGAACCCAGGGAAAAAACTATAGGCATGGAAGCCAGGGCTAAAGTTAGAGGAGTATAGAGCAGGGGGACAAAGGAGATGGCTATGGATGGGAAAACAGGGGCAAACAGAGGAAGGAAGTTTGTCGACTTGTTCAATGAGAATCAATTGTGTAATTTAAAGATTGATTTGGAGCAGGCTATGGTCTGTGCAAGATGTGATTTTTCAAGCAGTTGGGCTCAAATTAAAAAGGAGTTAAGTAAATATTTAAAGAAGTTTATTGCTCTCCGGCCATTTCAAATCAATCGCGCTCTATTCTGGGCTAGTAATAGAGAGGAGGCAAGTTTTCTAGGAGACAAAGGATTGAGGTTCTTCGACAAAGGTGTGGCGATCAGATTGGAGAAGTGGTCTAAGGAGAAACACGTTAAACCAAAGGTTATTGTCTCTTATGAAGGGTGGATTGCAGTGTGCGACCTGCCATTTACCCTTTGGAATGCACAGATATTCCAGCACATAGGAGGGAGATGTGGTGGTTTGTTGGAAGTTGATAGAATAACCGTCTCTTTGGATAATTTGTTTGAGGAAAGATTGAAAGTCAGAGGCTTTGATTGTGGTTTTCTGCCAACTTTCATAGAGGTCAAGGTGGGAGGACAATCTTCCATGGTGCGCCTAAAGCCATTGTCCAAGCCAGTGCGACGGCAAGTGGAAGTTTATCCAAAGGTTTTCTGGCAAGAGTCTTCAGGTGAACCTTTCACCGACAATAGGGAAGGCAAAGGGGTTGGAAGGCCAAGGACATCGCGGGGAGGCATGGAAATGGGAAGCCAAAGGTGTGCAGAAGTTGAAGGGTTAGGGAACAGATCCCTTGTTGTTGATGAGGTGGTGGGAAGATCGAGGG